TGACTATTTTGAACACTGGTGAAGCGACACGTATAGCAAAACCTCCGGCTCGAGAAAGCCGACTCGACCTATCTTTGTGTTCAAGATCGCTATCATTGGATTGTCAGTGGAAGGTTATCAATGATCCCCATGGTAGCGATCATTTGCCAATCATCATTTCAATAAAGTGTGGCCCTCACTCTGCAGAACCATCTCGGGTTCCATTTGATCTTACAAGGAACATCGACTGGCAGAAATATGCAACGGCGGTGACAATCGGTGTCGAATCAATAGATGCGCTTCCACCATTGGAAGAATATCGATTCCTAGCCGATTTGATTTACAAAAGCTCACTGGAAGCACAAAAAAGAAAAGTTCCAAGTGCACCCTTTAAAAGGAGACCAGCCACACCTGGTTGGGACGAAGAATGCACAAAATTGTATGTAGAAAAATCTGATGCTTTCAAAGCTTTTTGTAGACACAAAACCTCCACTTACTTTGAGGAATATTCAAAGCTTGAGACAAAGCTGAAACAATTAATCAAAGCAAAAAAACGCGGTTATTGGCGCAATTTCATCGAGGGACTCTCACGAGAAACCTCAATGAACACCTTGTGGAGGGTGGCTCGCAACATGCGTAACCGCTCATCTTTCAATGAGAGTGAAGAATACTCCAACCGATGGATATTCGATTTCGCTAAAAAGGTCTGTCCGGACTCAGTTCCAGCACAAAATATTCTTCGAGAAGCGTCTCCTAGCGGCGGCTCTCTGGATAGACCATTCTCAATGCTGGATTTCTCTATGGCTCTTCTTTCATCGAACAACTCCTCACCGGGAAGCGATATGATTAAATTCAATCTTCTGAAAAATCTCCCAGATATCGCTAAAAGACGCTTGCTAGATTTATTCAATTCCTTGCTAGAAAACAACATTGTACCGCCTGAATGGAGACAGGTCAAAGTAATAGCCATTAAAAAACCTGGCAAATCAGCGTCTGACCATAACTCATACCGTCCGATTGCTATGCTTTCGTGCATTAGGAAATTGTTGGAGAAAATGATCCTTCGGAGACTCGATCACTGGGTCGAATCAAATAACTTGCTATCAAATACACAGTTTGGGTTCCGCAAGAGCAAAGGAACAAACGATTGTCTAGCGCTGCTTTCCACAGATATTCAACTGGCCTTTGCGCACAAGGAGCAATTGGCTTCAGTATTCTTGGACATTAAGGGGGCTTTTGATTCAGTTTCCATTGAAATTCTGTCAGACAATCTGCACAGATGTGGACTTTCTGGAATTTTAAATAATTTCTTGTACAATTTGTTGTCAGAAAAGCAAATGAACTTTTCCCTTGGACAACTGACAACTTCCAGAATTAGTTACATGGGCCTGCCCCAAGGCTCATGTCTCAGCCCTCTTCTTTATAACTTTTATGTCAAAAATATCGACAACTGTTTGGCAGAACAATGCACGCTAAGACAACTTGCAGATGACAGTATGGTTTCCGTAAGAGGTCCACATGCCGTGGACTTGCAAGGACCATTGCAAAATTCCTTAGATAACTTGTCTTCTTGGGCTATGAATCTAGGGATCGAATTCTCGCCGCAGAAAACTGAACTGGTAGTGTTTACTCGAAAGCGGTACCCAGCCCAAATGCAGCTTAATCTTTTGGGCAGAAACATTACTCAATCATTGTCTTTCAAGTACCTTGGGGTCTGGTTTGATTCAAAGTGCACTTGGAATGCCCATATTACGTATTTGAAGCAAAAATGTCAGCAGAGGATCAACTTTCTCCGTTCAATTTGCGGCACATGGTGGGGTGCTCATCCGGGAGACCTCATAACGCTTTATAAAACAACTATTCTCTCTGTTCTAGAGTACGGCTCTTTCTGCTTTCACTCGGCAAGAAAAAGTCACCTAATAAAATTGGAACGAATTCAATATCGTTGTCTGCGTATTACTCTAGGCTGTATGCACTCAACGCATAACATGAGTCTCGAGGTTCTGGCAGGAGTAACACCCCTCCAGAACCGTTTCTGGGAGCTCTCTCTCAGAATACTAATCAAATGCGGAGTGACGAACACACTTATAATTGCTAATTTTGAAGAAATTCTTGGGCTGAACACACAATCTCTATTTATGAGAATCTACCACCACTACATATCATCAGATATGTGTCTTCCTTGTTATACTCCAGACCGTGTTCACTTCACCAATCGCAGTTCCTCAATTGAATATGATCTGACCATGAAACAAGAAACTCATGGGATTCCCGATCAACTTCGACCTATTATTATTCTGCGTATTTTTACTGAAAAGTACCAACAAGTCAATTGCATGAAAAGATATTTTACAGACGGGTCCCGTCTCAATGGATCCACTGGCTTCGGTATCTTCAATGAAAACTCTAGCGCCTTCCGCAAACTTCAGGAACCTTGTTCCGTTTTTGTTGCTGAGCTGGCAGCAATCAACTTCGCATTGGGGATGATTTCCAACATGCCCGCAGACCATTACTTCATCTTCTCGGATAGTCTCAGTTCCATTGAGGCTATTCGGTCGATGAAACCAAGTAGGCACTCATCTTATTTCCTTTCAAAGGTAAGGGAGCAGATGTGTGTGCTGGTCGAAAGATCATATATGATTACCTTTGTATGGGTCCCCTCACATTGCTCAATCCCAGGCAATGAGAAGGCGGACTCTCTCGCAAAGGTGGGCGCGCAGGAAGGCGAATTGTATGACAGGCAAATTTCACACGATGAATTTTACCATTTAGTGCGTCAGAGTACCTTTTCGAGTTGGCAAACCGATTGGGACACTGGAAATCTTGGACGGTGGTTACATTCAATTATTCCTAATGTTTCTTCGAGAGCGTGGTTTAAAGGCTTGGGCTTAAGTCGTGACTTCATTCGCGTGATGAGTAGACTTATGTCCAACCACTACTCGCTAGATGCTCATCTCAATAGAATAAACCTCGTGGACAGCAACATCTGTCGGTGTGGAAACGGTTACGATGACATCGAACACGCAGTTTGGCAATGTACGGATAATGACGCCGCCAGAAAGCGACTTTTGAATACCCTCGAGGCCCAAGGAAGACAACCCTATGTTCCTATCAGAGACGTGTTGGCAACCCGTGATCTCTGCTATATGCAGTCCGTTTATGTTTTTCTTCAAATGTCTAGTATAAGAATTTAATTCCTTTTGTCTTTTGTCTCTCTTTATTAGTTTTTGTTTGTCTTGTCCCCCCGTCTCGATGAGTCTCATCGTCGCCCACTGGTCACCCACCATAGCCGGTCGAACTCCGGACGAAGCTAGAACAGCACTACCGTTCATACTGGCGACAACGCTCTGATGAGACAACGAAACCCTACCCCAAGCTCCTCCCCTGATCCTATCCTTCGAAAATGTACCCTTCTAACCTCGAGTAAGCCGCGAGTAATCGGCCCAACTCCTACTAGACATAGAATTAAGTGAATTTTGTTACACACAGTGAACAATGAATTATCGGCTCCGTAAAGCTAACGCGATTGAGCCTTCCAAATAAACGAACTAGATAAAAAAAAAAAAAAAGTTTGACAGATAACATCAGGTGTGTGTGGATTCATGCAGAACATGCAGGGGTGAGTGAAATAGCTTGGGACTGCTTGGGACCGTTGTTCTGGTACTGAGTGAGCCAAAAATAATAATGATTTTCTTAGGGACCCAAAAAACTACCATAACCATTACCATTAATGTTCTCAAATCATAAGTAAAAACGTTCTTATTTAGTTCTCTTTCTGAAAATGTATGGAGAAACAAGAATTTGGAATGGTAATGGTTCTTAACAACCCATTATTTGTAAGGTCCAGTTCCAAAAAACTATAATACATAAGGTTGAAACTTTATCATTAAACGTTCATGTAAAGTTCCATAATCATTTCAGTTAAAGTTTAGCAGGGATTATAAACAATTTTTAACCATTTTAGGTAAGGTCAATTTATGGTTCGCGTTTATGCGGGACACTCTTTGCACACTGTCATTGTACACAAAATCAACCTTGTGCAAAACCAAAACAAAAATACTATCCCATCTATCTATACTATCCAAATAACCTTACAAATTTTATTAAGGCCCAAGCGCAATGACAGCGGAAGCGGAACGGCAGTGGCAGTGGAAAAGCCCGATCTGAGTAAGCCTGCTTGTCGGATTGAAAACTAGTTAGAACAAAATCGACATCGGTTAGGCTTCTTGATGTCATTTGTGACAACTGTCAAACTTTCCGTTTCCGTTCCGCTTCCGTCCACATTGCGTTTGGGCCTTTAGGGTTCCTTATATTCGAGAAGTTTTTCCTGCAAGAGCTTGGAAAATTTTAATCGGTTTGTGAGCAAATCCCCGCATAAACAATAACCATAAAAAGCGCCTAACCACCGCTTCGGGGTATAATCTCTACTTTATGTGGCATGGTTGTACCGTCTATGATATCGTTAATGTATGGTACCTGTTTATTAGGGTCCACTTTTTGTAAAATTGAATTAAATTCAACTCAATTTTGAGTCGATCTCATTGTCCGTGAACCCACCAGTTATAAGTTTGCCAGACTGACAGCTGTTGTCATCGCAAAAGCGAAACACTTTCGAACACCCCCATCCACTTGGGATCCCCTTTGATTTGGAGCAGTATTTTCACAGCCAGCAGAGTAGTGCTTTTTTCTCCTCTCCGTGATCGGGTTTTCGTTCGTGTTATCTATCGTTGGTGTGTCCATTTATTGGACAGAAGACATTTTTTACTATAGATACTACAAAGGCTATTTACGAGCAATAGACAGTTGGTACAAAGCTCTCGGATATCGGAATTAATAATTAAGTTCAACGTTGGGGCAATATGCGGACTGTGTTAATCGGGCAAATCGCATAATAAGCCAACGCAAAAAGTGTTTTTTTCGATTTCGGTGTTCCGAGAGGAAGAAAAGAATAGATTCGTCCCGATAAGAAAAAAAAGGGCAGAAAAGTGGTTATCATCGACGACCAAGGGCAGTGAGTGAGTCATCTTTGCTGCTGTTTTCCGAAGTTCTAGTGGACGGTGTTATTGGTGGATGCAGTTTGCAATTATAATTGTCTGGGGTGGAAATGTTGTGGCGTAGCAATTGAAGAAGAAAAAACCTGGTGCTTCGGAAAGTGGGTGCATAAAAGAGGAGCTGATTTCGCATTTGATTGGGGAAAGAAAGAAGGTCAGCTGAAAAGAGGAAGAAAACGACGGTGAGGGGAAGGTCGGAAAGAAGAAAACAAACAGAGGAAAAAGAGAAACAGTTCGCTTACAAGGCGATCATAAAAGGAACGGGAGTGGAGTGAAGCTGAAACACGTAAAAAAGGCAATAGCAGCGAACGTCAGTGACGTTGCTTTGAAGCTCTGGGGGTGGGGGACTCAGAGATTCCGTGTGATTGGTGGCACAGGAAGCAAAGGGAGCAATGAAAAAGTTTATCTCCAAGTTCGAGAACAAGAATGAGGCAACTCCAAGCAAGGAAACGAATAGTTTCGTGGGGAAGACATTTAAACTAAGCCGAGACAATGTCGTTACGGTGGAGGAAGTGCTGGCGGAGGGTGGATTTGCGTTGGTGTTTCTAGTCAAGGGCCACAACGGCCAAAGGTATGCACTGAAGCGGTTGTACGTAAACAACGAACATGACTTGGGAGTTTGCAGCCGGGAGATAAAGATTGCCAGCAATCTCAGCGGGCATAAGAACATAATCGGTTACATAGACCATAGTATAAACCCAAAAGGAAATGGAGTCCACGAGATACTGTTGCTGATGCCTTACTGCAAGACGAATTTGCTAACGCTTATGAATGCTAGACTACCGAATGGATTTAGCGAGCTGGACGTTCTGCAGATATTCTGCGATGTAGCAGAAGCCGTAGCTCGGTTGCATCAATGTCAGACTCCGATTATCCATCGTGATTTGAAGGTGGAGAATATTCTGCAGAACGATATAGGAAATTTCGTTTTGTGCGATTTTGGATCGGCGACCGCTCGTATATTGAATCCTAATGCCCACGGGAGGACACTGGTAGAAGAGGAGATTCAAAAATACACGACACTCTCCTATCGGGCTCCGGAAATGATTGATCTCTTCTCGGGGCAAGATATTACGGTAAAAGCAGATATATGGGCACTTGGGTGCCTTCTTTACAAGCTGTGCTTTTTTACGCTGCCCTTCGGCGAGAGCGCCCTTGCTATTCAGAGTGGTCAGTTCAGTATTCCAGATAACTCCAAGTATTCCAAGGAAATTCATCAGCTTATTCGGTACATGCTGGAACCAGACGTGGAGAAGCGTCCCAACATTTATCAGGTGTGCGAGGTTGCATTTAAAATTGCAGGAAAAACCAATCCGGTGCGTAATCTGACTAAATCTACGGTTCCCGGATTGGAATCGTTGATGGTTCCTCCATTCGAAAATGAAACAAAACGCATTCCATCAGCCTTAGGAACGAACTCAACGAAGACAACGAAACAATCGGCCTCCTCGCTTGAAGGAGGAACCTCCGTCGCACCTCGACAGAGACCTAAAGCCTCCCAAGCGACAGCGAATAATAGTTTCTCTCTAGGATTGCCCCTAAATCCTTCCCCTAAGAATATTCTCTCATCACCAACTCCCGGTGCAGCTCCATCGATTCCTCACGAGCAACCAGCCCCTCCAGCACCACAGGCGGAACCATTCGTGGCCAAGTTTAGCGCCAACTTTCCTCCTCCGCTAGCACAAGAAGTTCAAAGTAATAACCTATTTCAATCAACCTATCCAGATCCGTTCCGAGAAGTTGATACCCTGCAGGAAGCTGTCCCACACGCCGTACATCAAGAGTCATCAGTCTCAACACGTGATTCTTCGGCTTCTTCGTCCGTTCTTCAGTCACCTAGTCACGCTTCGGTTTCATCCCAATCGGGAACTCCACACGGTACCGGAAGTGGTTCCAGTGTGGCCGGAACTCTAGTTCCTCCGAAACAGCCCATAGTTGGTCATCGGCGCAACATGAGCGATACGTCCGCATTCAACAAAGCCTATACCACGGAAACGTCCCAGTTTCTTGCTCCGTACGACGTATCGTCCAACAACTACCAACCTCCGGCGACTACTTCGGGAAACAATGGATCCGAACAAAATCTCCATTCCATTCCGGCCAATTTTGAATCACGATCCTCAAACCCTCAACTGAATCCAACAACCACAGCTGCATCCAAACAGCAACCGTGGAATCCGTTCGGCGACCCAACACCCTTCAGTCAAATGACAGAAGATCACATCTTCGGTGAGGAATTCGACAAAATCCGACAGCAGGGTTCTCAAGGCAGCCTTAAAACACCACCGGAATCTACTTCTCGGCATCCCTCACTCCCTCAGGTCCTACCCATAATGACTCAACCTATTTCGCAACCTCTTCAATCTCAATTCTCTCCGGAAAACATACCCGATACTCCGGAGGAAGATCCTTTCAGTTCGGCCCCCTTTTCTTTACCCGTACGAGATAAGACACGATCTCTCAAGCTCGGTTCCAAAAAAGTCATCGTCATCGATGGTGGTTTTTCCACTCAACTGGCCACCCACATTGGCCAAGCTATCGACAAAGACCCCCTGTGGAGTTCCCGCTTCAACGCCACAAACCGCAATGCCGTCATTGCCACCCATCTGGATTTCCTACGGGCCGGGGCCGATTGCATTCTGACCAACACCTACCAGGCTTCTATTGAGGGCTTTATGGACTTTCTCGATCTCAGCGAAGAGGACAGTCTCAAACTGATCAAATCCACTGTGGAGCTGGCCAAACTGGCTCGTTCCCAATACCTCGAGGAGAAGCGTGAAAACAAATCCCACAAAATCCCGTGGGTAGTGGGTTCAATCGGCCCCTACGGAGCTCATCTTCACGATGGATCCGAATATACTGGCAGCTACGCGGACAGTGTCCCATTCGCTCGGATCCAAAATTGGCACCGCCAGCGTATCAATGCGGTGATTGAAGCAGGATGCGATGCCCTGGCCATCGAAACCATCCCATGTAGGATGGAGGCAGATGCCCTGCTGGAACTGATGACGGCCGAGCATCCGACGGTGCGGTTCTGGATATCGTTCCAGTGTAAGGATGGATCCAATTTGGCACATGGAGAAAACTTCGCCGAAACTGCCATCGGTATATGGACCAAGGCAAGGGCTTTGAAGAACCCTAATCTCCTGGCGGTGGGAGTGAATTGCGTGCATCCACAGTTCGCAATTCAACTGCTGCAAGCAGTTAACGATCGAAGACCCGAGGACGACAAGCTGCCGTTGATTGTGTATCCGAATTCGGGTGAGATTTGGAGCGCCGATTCGTGGACGGGACAGGAAGATTGTATCCCCTTAGAGACGTACGTTCCGCAGTGGATCGATTTGGGTGCGAGGTTCGTCGGGGGATGCTGTCGGACTAATGCGCGGGATATCAAACGGATCAAGAAAACGGTAATAAACCTGTACGGTGGTGGCCGGAGTGCATAGGAGCAGGAGAACGATGACACCGAGGAAGCTGCTGGAAAGCTGTGATCGTGTGTTCGTCTGTTTTCTTGTTGAAGGTAAGTCCTTGCGGTTGATGTGATTTTCTGCTTCAATTTGCGGAGCCGAAGGATTTACTTTGCTTTTCATGTTCCTACAATGTTATGCCAATTAACGCGGTTTGTGACTGTTTGTCTCCAATTTGTCGAGCGTTTCACATTTTTTCATCTAGCTTGCACAGCTCCATGGGAGTAGACAGTGGGGGTTGAATGCACCATCCTTTTAATTCAGTAACAACATAAATTATCAGAATTAAACAAAAATATGTTCAAGAATATCCCCCTATTCTATTCCCCACGGTGAGTGACTCTCTCCCCCTTATTCTGCGAGTCACGTGACTCTCTGTCACCGGTGAGGTAACAATTGTCACCTCGTGTGAGGTGACTCTCCATGTAAATCAAATGGAGAGTCACCTCACACGAGGTGACTATTGTCACCTCACCGGTGAGAGAGAGTCACGTGACTCGCAGAATAAGGGGGTCTGTCACTAGTGAGGTGACAATAGTCACCTTGTGTGATATGATTTGCACGGAGGCTTGTGACGTGACTTTTGTCATGTGACTAATGACAGATAGTCAATTGCAGTTTATAGAGGATAAATCCCAATTGACGAGTGCACGGATGAATTTGAGTTCACTCACTCGACAAAAAGTGACACAACAGCGGGGCCCTGTTTACTAAAAATGAACACATATATGTTCATTTGTAGTAAACAGGGCCCCGCTGTTGTGTCACTTTTTGTCGAGTGAGTGAACTCAAACCCATCCGTGCACTCGTCAATGGAGCATATTTTTTGGAATCTTTGATATATTTTTTTTAAAGTTAGGGATCAAAATCCTAACAGAGCAGCCAAATGATATGGTGCCTAATAGATAAGCGCCAACACAGATTGCCGAAGCTTCAGAATTTTGTTAATTACACAGCTGTTACGACTACGCGATTTTTGTGACTTTCGCGGATTTGCATTTCAGATTTGGTCAGGTGCTAATTTGGCGTAAATTAGATCCATTTAGTCTGAATTCAACTACCTATGTTTTAATTTTAATTATTTTAAGACTCCATTCCGATCATGTCCAGGCCACATTTTCAAATCGACATAAAGGAATATGCATAAATAACGTAACATGTGGAGCTTACCACCATAAATTTCGCGGCCAAAAGCTACTATCTTCTCCGGTTGGGGAGAGTCTTTCGCTTACTAGCCCGCATAAACGCGAACCATAACTTGACCTTACCGAAAATGGTTAAAAACAGGCTTCCTGAAACTCCTCAAACTCACTGGAGGTTTTAAAACCCTCTTGTCCTGTGAGTTGAACCAGCCCTCACCTCGAGTGAGTAGCGGCAGGAATATGGAAGAAGTAAACAAAAACTCCTCGAGAGAGAGGGAGAGTGAACATCAGCGAGAGGATGATTTGACGTGAGCTGCGCTTTTCGAGACTCCGGATGACTTTTTTGTTCGACTTCCAAAAAACCATAATACATAAGGTTAAAACTTTATCACACAAACGTTCATGTAAAGTTCCATAACCATTTCAGTTGAAGTTTAGCAGGGATTATAAACAATTTTTAACCATTTTCGGTAACGTCAACATAATGGTTAATTAAGCTGGGTTTAGACAGGACAAGTCAGTTTAAGTCAACTGACTTGAACACGAATTGAACGTGTAAAACATGCCATTCAACTGACTTGATCAATTCACTTGAATTGAAAAAAGTTTAACCAGGCTCAACTTTTCAAGCCAGTTGAATTCAACTGAGTTGATCATTTGACTTGCCTTGTCTAAACCCAGCTTTAGTGACACCCAGCTCAAATATGTCCAGGAGATGAAGACGCCCTAGGAGATCTGGAAAACGCTGAACGAGACCATGTCGGAAGACAATTTAAGTATGAAATGCGTCAAAAGCCGCTTGCTTGACGAAGAGGTCCAGCGAAAAGGAATAGATGTCGAATCGTCCATAACAAAAGTTATTCGGCTGCGTTGTCGGGCAGCAAGCAGGCCAGAAAGAAGAAAGTGATTAAGATGCAAGCAAGAAAGCCATAAGCTGGCTGAATGCCCAAAGAAGAGGGAAAAGGAAAATAATGTGAAACAAAATTCTAGAGCGCATTTCGCTGAATACGGTGCGGTGTTTGTTTTGTAGGAGTGAGCAGTGGTATCGTCTCGCCGGATGAGTCCAGTCGGGTGCACTGGTTTATCGATTCCGGCTGCTCGGACCATCTGGCGAATGACAGGGCGCTATTTGACAAGCTGAAGCCGCTGAAATCCCAGGTGGAAATCGCCGTTGCAAAAAACGGAGAGACGAAGCAGCATTCAGGAACGGTAATGCCCTTGTCAAAGGTAAATATACTGGATGTTTTGTAAACAACGTTCTTTTTGTGCCTGAGTTGCGGTGCAACCTCTTTTCCATGATGACGGTAGATCAGATCGGGATGAAAGTGACGTATCAAAACGGAAAAGTATGGAAAACTGTATCGTCTAGATTTCTTTATGGACAAGTACGGCGCGAGTGAATCATTTTTGTCTTGTGGACGTATTTCGGAGAATCTCGAACTGTGGCACCGCTTGCATACGAAGAGTATCGAAAGAATGATTCGGGAACACATGATGAGCGGTCTAACATTGGATAGCGATAGTACGAACATGCAAACCGTCGTTTGTGAAGCGTTTGTAAGGAACCAGACTCGAAAACCGTTCGTGGTGCGAGACACGAAACGATCGTCGTGAGTGCTGGAGTTGACACACTCCGTCGCCGGTTGACCTAGAAGAGTTGAAATACTTCGTCAACTTTATTGATGATTGAAGTCATTTTACCATGACGTTTCTGATTGAGACAAAGGATGAAGTTTTCGAGTGCTTTCGACAGTACGTGGCTCATGTGACGGCGAAGTTCGGCCAGAAAGTGTGTCGCCTTCGATGTGATAACGGCGGCGAATATAGGAGCCAAGTGTTCGAGCGCTTCTGTACGGAAAAGTGCATCCAGGTGGAGTGGACGGTTCCCCACATACCAGAGCTGAACGGCGTAAGCGAGCGGATGAACCGCACCCTGGTCGACAAGGTGAAGTCTATGCTGGAGGATTTGCAGATAGACAAGAGATTTTGAGGACAAGCAGTTCAAACGGCGGCATATCTGGTAAACCGTAGTCCTTCAAATGCACTGGATTCCACTATTGAGCTCTGGGAAGGCCGGAAGCCTGACGTTGGCAAGTTGTGGCTGTTCGGTTGCCCTATGTTCGCGCACATACCGAAGGAGCACCGTAAAAAGCTTCGAAGTGGATCTTTGTTGGATACACGCTCAATGGCTACCGTGTAACCAATCGGATGGAAGACAATCTCGTACTAGCGACTTCAATGAGGTTCCGATTATTCGTGAAGATCAGCAAGATAGTGATGCGGAGGAAGAGCTTGAGGATTCGATGCTTGATGATTCGATGTCTGACGGTGATGAGTTCGGAAGCTTTGAGGAGGACCTGAGGTTGGACCAGCGGCTGAGACACGGTCTGAAACGCCATCTGGTAGCAATACGCAAGGAAGGTCAAAACGTAAGCGAACTACTCCAAGGTAGCACGACAATTTTGAGGTTGAGTATACCTGAATGGTGAACCTGACCGCTACAAGACTCGACTTGTGGTGAGGGGATTTAGCCAGAAATTTGGTTTCGACTACACGGAAACTTACTCGCCCGTGGCTAAGTTCGATACACTGCGCACGGTGTTGGCTGTAGCATATCACAACAAGATGGTGGTCTACCTACCAGACGTTGCAACAGATTCTCTCAATGGCAATCTTAATAAGGAAATATACATGGTGCAACCAGAGGGCTTCGAGCAAGGAGATGGTCTGGTGTGTCGCCTGGTCAAATCTTTATACGGATTTAAACAGGCGTCGAAATCATGGAACGACAGATTTACCACTGGGGATTTACCAAGAGCGCGAACGACCAGTGCTTGTACTCGAAGAGGATCGGTAAGAACACGGTGTTCCTGGTAATTTATGTTGAGGACGTGGTTATCGCTGCATCAACCCTGCAGGCAGTCGAAACTGTGAAGCGATGTCTGGCAACGGAGTTCCAGATGACCGACGGAGGAGAAATACGGTGCTTTCTTGGAATGCACATTGAGCGTGATGTGGAAGTGGCTCAAGCTGGAGAAGGGGACAGAAGAGAAGTGAACGAGACAACCTGACTTATGCGTAGTTGATAACTAGGCCAGATGTGGCGGCAGCCGGCAACTATTTTAGTCAGCACCAAAGCTGCCCGACTGATGAAAATTGTAGGCATATAGTCGAAGCAACTAGCACAAATCATTTGAGCTGTCAAGAAGACGGTTCAGCAAAGAAAGAAGAAGAAGATGATGAACATTGGGTACACCTAAATTGATTGATGATCTAAACACACAGGTACACCTCAAAAGCATCTTACGGTACCTAAAGGGTACTCTCGACTTGTGTCTGATGTATCAAACGGATGAAACTGCAGCGATTCTTGAAGTGTTTTCAGACGCAGATTGGGCGAATGACACTTCGGACCGCAGATCGATTAGCGGCTGTATCTTCCAGGTGCTTGGGTGGATTACGCGAAAGCAGAAACCAGTGTCACTTTCGTCTACCGAGGCAGAGCTGAATGTTTTGTGTAATGCCGCGTGTCATCAAATGTGAATGATTCGTTTTCTAAGGAACCTTGCAGCAGAATCAACTCCTTTCTACGAGGATAATCAGTCCACTATAAGGATCGTTGAAAATTCGAGAGACTTTGGGCGCTTGAAGCACGTGGGCATGAAGCTTTATTTCCTGAAGGACCTTGTACGAAAAGAACAGATTCGGCTTGAATATCTTCGCTCAGAGGATCAACCAGATATCATGACGAAGAGTTTGCCAGTTGGTGTTTTCCGGCGTCATCGCATCAGCATCGGCCTGATAGGTATCAATGGTTGAAGGAGGGTGTTAAGAGTACAACACTGCTACCTATCGCCCCTACTATACACAGGCACGGTACTGCCGATTGATTTGTGAAATCCGATTGATCATTCTAAGTCTGTAACTAAAAGTAATAAACACGTTCTTCTTTGTGAGTTTGTAAAACGCTTTTGCCGTGACCGTTCTTCTGTGGCCTTTCCATAACTCTGTTAGTAAACTCTAAGATTTGTTTATTTTCTTCGCTATTCGTCTGGAACTGCTCAACATGAAAATATCTCATATCACAGGCTTATTTTTAAATTGACCTCTCCCCTCATTTACTTGAATAGTTTCAACTTAAAGTTCACTTCGCAAAACAGTAGAATTTCAAAAACCCATTGAAGCATCGCTGAGATACGGCAATTTGACCCCAGGATACAGCGACAATGTAAGTTTGTTTTAGTAAATACGAAGGGTTAAGAACATTTATAGGTTACCATAACTACTATAATCACAATTTTGCGTATAGATTACTTATGTCCATATTATCTCTCTCTCATTGCAGCGCCACTGTATTCACGACCGACAATATCGCAAACCATGAGCATCAAAACTGCTGCAGCCAGGCTGAGGCAATGTCAATATTAATCGAAAACGAGGGTAACAAGCCACAACTCATCAACTCAAGTATGGCAGTAGGTACCTACTATTAAAGATCAAGATCGTCAAGCGAAAAAAAAAGTCATGCTACTTTAATTGACCACTACACACCTGTTCACAGCAAATGGATTGTAAGCGGCATTTCCACTATTTGCCACTATCACATGAGCAGATTTGAGCAGATTGTAGTTAAAGAGGAACACATTTAAGGCCCCGATGCAATCGGTCCGGTTGTGATAAGTTCCGTCAAATTTGACAGAAAAGGCATAGATTGTGTCCGGGCAGTTAGTGTAGAGAGCATCCCAAGAAGGAGCATGCTCTCAAGTCACCTTGGCATTAACATTTACATGTTTTTGCGATTTTCATACAAACAACCCATGTTTAAGGACTCACGTCTTAGTCTTTTTTTTTTAATTTTGAGGATATTTGTAAATTTTACTGGGACGTTGACATCAAAATTGTAGAAATTTGCGAATGTTATCGCCAATACTGTGTGTTGATACGGAAAGCCTATCTTGTTAAGGTTGGACTCACATTGTCATCCGTAAAAAAACGGGTGATAAACAATGATAGTCGAACCTTATGCTACGAGTGTGTGATTGTAGATTAACATATTTTTTCATAAGAATGATAGATGCTACCGTAAACATGTAGTGTACATATGCATATTATATTATAAATTCCAGAACCAGAAGCAAACCATATATTTACACATATTTAGACATTTGTTGTTCCTGTTTTATGCCACTGTCTCTCTCTCTCTCTGTATCAACTGTTAGCGAACAAATTGAAAATAAAATGGTTCAGTTCGACTAAAATCCGATGCGAAGTTTTGGCTGGGCAAGTGTAACTTCGCATCGGGTCTCACTCGTGACTCCGGATTGCATCACTGTCAGCACAACGCAAAGAAAGGCTATAGCCATTATTGAATTGGATTTCACGACGTGTCTTTCTTGAGTGTTACTCTATGGCTCTATTAAGTTGGATGGAGCTTTACTTCTGGTCACTGGACCAATTTGGTATTACTTCTGTAATACCAAATTGGACCAGTGACCTGAAGTGATGCTCGACTCGATTTACATAATAGGGCCCTATGTAGATAATTCCGACAACCATATAAAAACGTCGGAATAAGCAAGTCTCTCTGTCCTAAAAACGAATGTACCAATTTAATGTTTGAATTTTCAGTTCATTGGCAAACCTAGTAGGTACTGCTCGCTTATCTTCTTCAAACAGTGTCGCCCGTTAGACATCGATTGAGAAATTGTGCAATCATTTTCCATCCTGATAGTGCAAATCTGTCTTTATTGTCCCTATCATAATCCACCTGTTTCAATGTCCTCGCACCCATTATCTTTTCGTCTTTTCCTTATCTAGTGTTTTTTTTTACCTTGGAGAGCAGTGTATTTTCAATATTTCCGATTCGGAGAAGCCAGGCCTGTGCTCGCATGCTTTAGGAGGTTTGAATTTAGTGGCAAAATCATTACGTTACTATAGTCTTATGCGGCTTATTATTGGGGCGCAATTGTTTTGTTAATTGCATTTGTTTCATTTGGCTTTTAGGTTATGTAATTGTACATATATTTGTAATTTATCAAAGAATTCGATTATCATTTCTTCGACTATTAGTATCACAGAGTGATCAATATAATAGAAGTAAACTAAACAACAAAAGAGATATTTATACACAATAACCACACAAATCTATATGTCGTTGCTGCTTGAAGGCAGAGAATGCAGATTCAATTATCACACGAGAAACTGATCAAAATGAACATTTACGCAAATGCGTGATCAATATTGAAATTTGTTGGTGAAGAAAACTGAATCAAGCTCAACACAGAGATAACAACAAAAATCGAAGATAACGGACGAACAATTGGAAGCGTCTATTAATAGGAATCGCGGCAAATCAATTCAATACCAGTAATAATAAACAACCCGAGCAACGTTAAGGCTTTACAACAACAACAACAAAACAACATTTTTAACTCGAAAGTGAGATCTCAAGATATTCTGAACTTCTCTACCTACACAAATTATCAAACCAAAAAATTAAATAAAATAACGATTGGCTAACCCCACTTTTAATTGATCCATTTAAAAACGAAAAAGTAAATTATCCTATTGCTAAAATTATTGCAAAGCATAAAATCTTAGTCTCAGCCTAATATTACGATGAATCCCTTATTGAAAACAAAAACAAGCAGTTTCTTGTACCAGTTGATTAGAATCAAAAACAATACCTATAGACACACAAATCCGTACAGAAAAAGAAAGTACGATTTACCTACTATACCTATTAGATTATCTTGCTATATTTTCGAATATCGAGCCCCGGGAAGATTCGGAACGTCACTGAAAAGTCGAAGAAAAATGTACCAAAAAATGGAAAATGGGAGCATGTACCACACGCAAAAAAAAAACTAACAAACAACAATTACACTTACATTACACAAACAAAAAAAAAACAACAACTGAACAACCGAATATATTATGAGGTAATAAATTATTTCAGCAAAATGAAATTCGAAAGGCTCTTGTTGATAGATGAAACATACCGAAAGAATCCCGAATGCGACCGACGAAAAAAAAAAAAACCGGGATGAAGACTCTTGAAAAGACCAGGGTTCCTTTCACTCACTTCGCTATAAAACTTGTTTTTCGAATCGAATTATGAAATCATTGGATATTTTATTGATATTTTGTTCTTGTAAGTTATAGGTTTTTTTTTTTTTTTTTTTTTTTTTTTTTTTTTTTTTTTTTTTTTTATTATAGTCACTTTAACACTCTTGGGTCATTCGTGACTTGTCCGGGGGTGAGATTTGAACTCGTGACTTTGGCGTGAGAGGTATGGATATTAACCACTACGCCGGGGTCGCCGCCTGAAAGTTATAGGTGGTAAAGTATGTGTCTGACACATGAAACCTGTCAATTTAGCTTTCAGAGAGTCACAATCACGAAATCGCTTCGAGTAGACCCCTTACATATGGTGAAACCGTGGAGAAAACACTCAATCAATCCTATTCTACCCAGGATCAAAAGTCTTCCCAAAGTCCACAAACCGGGGAATGAATTGCGAGAGATCGTGTCTGCGGTGGGTTCTCCTACTCACAAACTAGCGAAGTGGCAAGTCACAGAGTTCCAGAGTATGTCGAATCAGTTCCAGAGTAAGGCAGTTGGTAACACCGCTCGCCCTGCAATTACACTGTTCAGGAGACATCAACGAACACGAGATTGTGGTATCTTTCAACGTCACAGCTCTTTTTCCCAGCGTACTAGGCCAAGGAAGCGGTCAACCATTTGGAGGACTGGCTATTAACACGACTAGAGGATGCAGCATGGAGAAACAAGTTTCGAACGTATCCTAAGCTGACCCGCCTTTGTATGGAAGAGAACTACTTCTCTTTCCGAGGTAATTTCTACAAGTAGACGAAAGGTGCTCCAATGGGCAGGCATGGAGAATCATTTGCATTCATTTCATACATTCATTTGCCTCTAACTTTTTTCATCAACAGCATTCCGCAAAATGATGTGAAGAGCTTTTGTAGGTTTTGTTATTAGCTACAACTCAGAACTTGGAATTGAAGATTAGATCTCATTGCCGATACGCGTTTTGTTCGATCGCTGCGTTGTTTTTTTCGGTTGAATTCATATTCCCAAATAATGCTGCCCAGCCAACTCTACCGGAGATGGTCCGCTTCGTGAAAGGTCTCACCGGTGATCACGGAAAAATGGACACGGCGTATAAGAATGCTGGGGAGAGGACGGTATTCATTTAATACAAGTCCGAGGAAGGCATGAGGGAAGCCCTCTCTCGTAACGATGAAAGGCAAACGTTCCATTATTCTAATGGAACACAAGTGGAGGTTTGTATGTCGGTAGCGGGTTGTAACATCCAGTACGTACGGGTATTTGACCTACCGCCAGAGGTATCCGATCGTGATCTTGCTGTTGAACTAATCAAATTTGGGAAGATTAAGCGCTGTGTGCGGGAAAAGTATCCACCCGAATATCAACTGGATTTGTTCAATGGTGTCCGCGGAATTTACATGGATGTGGAGAAAGAAATTCCACCAGCGCTCTACTTCCTTAGCAGAAGAGGAAGAATTTTCTACAGTGGAAATAAATTGAAATGCTTTGCTTGTGGACAAGAGGGACATCAAAGAAAGATTTGCGGAAGAAGGAACGTAAAAATAACAAGAGATACAGGAGTAGGTGTTGAAAAAAAAAATACATTCGCTGCCGTTCTCGCAGGAACGAATTCGTCAGACAAAGTCGAGAAGCAGGAAATAGATTTGGAAATAGAGATGCTGGAGGAGGAGGAAGGCAGAACTTGTTTCTGTTTTTCAGTGAATATAAAATACATTCACTGAAAAACAGTAGTGGCTTCTGTTCGCTCTGGTTCGTCATGCATAAGAGATACGAATTTGACTTGTTAACAAAAGCTAATAATAAAACCTACCTACCTACCTAATATAGTACCAGAGCTGAGCCAAAAAGTTGAGCACGTTTCTTCGAGGCCTTCTGGTCTTAGAGTTACCATAGAGGTTACTCTAAGACCAGAAGGTCCCAAAGAAACGTGCTCAACTTTTTGGCTCAGCTCTGGTACTATTTTCGGTCCCAAGCTTATCGATGCACCTCTTGAAACATAGGAAACCCTCGAACCCCTAATTTTATCTGTCAAACTTTCTTAGCGAATCAAAACAAACATAGTATAGTACTAGAATTTCGACTGGAATGGTGTACGTTTATCGATTTTCTTGGGACCAATAGGCTAGTCAAGTAGTGAGCCAATTTATAATCGATAGTTTCGTATTGATTGTTGCTATTACCAAACCGTTGGTGGAGGTTTGTCGACGATATCTGCAGCGTAGTTAAACGGGAAGCCCTTCCACAAATTTTAAATGAGATCAACAGAATTCACAATGATATAAAATTCACGCACGAGGTAGAAAAAGACGGAAAACTCGCATTTCTCAATCTTCTTGTCGTCAGGGAATCGTCACCATCTTCTTCTTTTGAATACGAAGTTTACAGGGAACTAACAAGCACCAAAACAGTTATCCCCTATATTTCCAACCATTCGTTCCAGCAAAAAATGGCCGCCTTCCATCACATGATTCACCGGATGCAGTACATCTTCGAAACAGTAGCGGCGCCGGTGGTGTAGTGGTAAGCGTGATTATCTCTCACCCCAGCAGGCCTTGGTTCAATCGCCGCCGGGATATTAAAGTCGTTGGTCCCCGGTTCATGAGTTGATGAGTCGATAGGTAGGGTTCAGGTGTGGGAGCTGCCTCCCTGGCGTCGGTACCATTGGTGCTTAGCATCAATCAGGAAAGGAAAAAAAATCTTCGAAACAGCGAGACTCAACGGATACAAGGAGACCACAATCCAGGCAATCATCGACAAAAAAGCGAAAATTCTACAAAGGAGATTATTTACAATGGTAACAAGTACGCTTTTCCATTTATTTATTTAGTTATATTTTTGCACAGAATTCCTAATCATACAATTTTCCACATTTAAGTACTTTGCATGAACTTTCGTTTTTTTACAATTAAATTCATAAATGTATTCGCCGCCAAGGAACGTATGTAGTTACACTTGTCATACAAAAACCAACGAGTTCCCAATACGTTCAGCTAATTTATTCTATTTGACTCGAATACGCTACCTGTTCATTAAAGTCCGGAGCAAGATAGTATATTGAAATTGCATGATAAGGAAAGAGATGTAGCATTGAATGGTTACAGAGAAAGATGATGAAAATTGTCGTTTGAAAGGTCGTTGAATTACTTCGGTAATTTTACGTACTTCCGGCCACGATGACCGTTGAATTCACACCTAACTGAGGGTTCTGAAACTTCTACTCGTTCACTTTGACTTGAACCGTGGAAGAGGCAGGAGTGCGGTGTGTTTTTCGTGGTATGTGAAGTTAAAAATGTGAGGAGTCTAAAAGACCGAATTTAATGTTACATTTTTTGTTCCTTTCCGTTAGCCTGTAGAGTGCAAACTGTAGGTTAGAAGTTCCGTGCGGTCCACTTATTGTGTGTGCAAAGTTCGTAGAAAGGTAAGGTGAATAATGTCTTTTGTGTGGAGATGTATCTGAAATGTGTCGAACAGCCGGCTTTTTGTGCAGGATCGTTTTGTGATTGGAGTTTGCACCGCATCGCTTCTAGCGATAGATGGATTTGCTCGGCACACCGCAATCGAGGAATTAAATTGCGCTCTCTAGACCCCACGCTTCAACGTAAAGGTTCCCGGTTCAGGGGAGAATTCGGAAGGGAGGCACCGTTTAACCATAGAGGTAACTCTAAGACTAGTAGGTCCCGAAGAAACGTGCTCAACTTATTGGCTCAGCTCTGGTACTATCTTCGGACCCAAGCTAATCGATTCACCCCTCGAAACATAGGAAAATCCACAAACCCCTCATTTTATCTGTCAAACTTTCATAGCGAATCAAAACAAACATTGTGTAGTACTAGAATGACTAGAATGGGGTACGTTAATCGATTTGCTTGGGACCAATAGGCTAGTCAAGTAGTGAGCCAATTTAAAATCGTTAGTTTCCACCGGTTGGTTTAACTGTTCTCCGGCAGAGCGTTGGCCAAATCCGCCAATGTCAACCACGTGAACCCACGTACATTATTCGTCTTCAACGATCCCTTCGTTGACATTTGGGTCACCGGCAATCGGCACTAGTTCAGTACCAATTCGAGGGTTCGATTGGAAATTCCCGCACCATACCAGTCCGAGGTGCAATTTGCAACACCACCACCGTGGAATAGGGTGCTACTGAACTTTACAGACCTCCCTCCGACAAAGGGATACGGGAAGCAGCGACGACAATGATTACCGTGAGTAAATGAAACACATGCGAATCTCCACACACACAAACACATGAGCTCGAAGAAGATTAACGCTAGATTAAGGCTAGCAATCGCTAGAACTAGGCCAGGAAAACGCACACGATTAGGGAGAGCTAGCAAACAAACGAACAAATGGAAAGGAACAAGTGCCATGAATAAAACCTAGGTTAGTAATAAATCATATAATGATTTCCGTTATTTAGCCCTGGAATAAATATTGTTTTCGTAAAGTAAAAGCTTTCCCCGTAATGTTAATTTTTGTTGGCTAGATTCTTCACGTTTTGGTTGTTCTATTTTGCGTTATTTTTTTTTGTAGTAATTTGTTGTTGTAGCTGAATTTACTCCAGCTTGGACTGCCTGGAAAAACAGTTTCCGCACTCACGTGTCAGGATCGGTGGAGGAAATCTGAAAGGAAAAGTTCCTCCAGTGATAATAAATGTGAGTGGGGTTGTGGTTTTTCGGCAGAACGACGGCTAGCATCAACTTTCGCTTAGGACCGTTTGAAGCGGTCTCTGTTTGTAAGGATCTCAATCCCTTATGGCATTTCAGTCTGCTGAATCGCTCTCAAACTAAATTTTGGTCTCTTCCATTCATTAACCCGCCGTTGTGT